GGATATGTATTTATCCTGTTTACTGTGAGGTAGAACATAGAACATAGAACAGTACAGCACAGTACAGGCCCTTCGGCCCACGATGTTGTGCCGAACTTTTACCCTAATCCTAAGGTCTATCTAACCTCCACCCCTACCTTATACTATCATCCATATGCCTATCTAATAGCCGCTTAAACGCCCCTAATGAGGCCGTTCCAGCAATGCATTCCACACCCCAACCACTCTCTGAGTAAAGAACCTACCTCTGATGTCTCCCCTATATCTACCTCCACTCACTTTAAAACTATGCCCCCTTGTAATAGCTACCTCGACCCTAGGAAAAAATCTCTGGCTGTCTACTCTATCTATACCTCTGATCATTTTGAACACCTCTATCAAATCACCTCTCATCCTTACTCATTCTAAAGAGAAAAGCCCTAGCTCTCTCAACCTTTCCTCGTAAGACCTTCCCTCCATTCCAGGCAACATCCTGGTAAATCTCTTCCGCACCTTTTCCAACACTTCCACATCTTTCCTGTAATGAGGGGACCAGAACCGGACACAATACTCCAGATGTGGCCGAACCAGGCTTTTGTATAGCTGGAGCATAACTTCACAGCTCTTGAACTCGATCCCTCTATTAATGAAAGCTAACACACCATACGCCTTCTTAACAACTCTATCCACCTGGGTGGCAGCTTTCAGGGAACTGTGGACATGAACCCCAAGATCCCTCTGCTCCTCCACACTGCCAAGAATCTTTCCATTAACCCTGTATTCTGCTTTCAAGTTTTTCCTTCCAAAATGAATCACCTCACACTTTTCAGGGTTAAACTCCATTTGCCACTTCTCAACCCAGCTCTGCATCCTATCAATGTCCCTTTGTAACCTAGAACAGCCCTCCGCACTGTCCACAACGCGACCCACCTTCGTATCGTCTAATTAGGATTAGGAAAATTAAGGCTCTAGGCTTATGTCCCCAGATTTCACCTGAAACTTTAAACGTAATCATAGTCCATGAACAAACAGCCCACGTTAAGATTGTAAATGGATTATCAAATACATTATACAGGATAACTATATCTGGGTTGGTGGAATAAAAGAAGAATTATTTTCATAAATTGCATCATCACTCTCACTATTGGTAAATAAAAGAAAGAATTTGATTTGCATTTAAGAACTAAGCACATTTTTTAAAATTACAATTTAGATTGCAAGATTATGCTTTAAATTGAAATGTTAGTTTTAATATGGTTATGATGAAAATGGCTGGTTGTTCACTATTGTGCAGAATTTCCGAAATTGCTTCTCACCTCTCTTGGGGAGATATTGGTCTACAATCCTGATAAATTTCATCAGCAAAAATATTACAGTTTCATTATTCCTACGCCATCTGCACACTGTTCCTATTTAGCAGTGAAGTTGCGATAAGGCCAATCTTTAAAACTCAGACCACTGGTAGTCGCAAAGTGCTTGTCTTCATCAGTTTTTTATACTCACTTTTAGCACAGGGGAACAGTAATACAGTATATAAACAGAAACTAAGTTGGAAACCTATTTTACATACCACCATTTATATAAAGCTTTAAATTGAAAAGCACCTCCATAAAAATATCAATTCAATGTCGACAACCAGACAGGAATGTAAAGCATCAAAAAAAAAATTCCCTGGTCATATGCACATTTGCAAAGTTAACTTTACATTAATCAGAAAATAATTAATGTGCAACAGTGGAGATAAACGTTGAGCACTTAAAGAAAAAGGTTGCATTAACAAAGCTGATGAATTGTCACTATCAGCTTGTCCAGCCCGCCAGAAATCAATTGGCATTTCAAATTCGGACAGTGCAAAGGGTGGAAAGTCCCCAACTTAGGTTATAAGTAGTGTGCAGTTAGTGCAGCATTACTGTAACCTATGTACAATCACTTTTAAAATTCAGAATATAGGAAGTGTTTGTTTCTCCCTTTTTTGTTAACATTCACCTTCTCACATTACAACAGTGACTATATTTCAAAGTATTTAATAACCAGTAAATCAATTTGAGCTGCCCAGTGGTTATGGAAAGTGCTAGATAAACGCAAGTCTTTTCATTTCTATCCCTAAAGACATCGACAGTGTGCTGAACCTTGTATACAGAGGCACCAGTCACCTTCCAGTATCCCTCTCAAGTGGTCATTCTGTATCGGTAACTTCGGCTGCCTGCTAACAGGTTTTTTTAGCCTGTTGTGCGCGCGCAAGTTAAGGTTGCCAACCATCCGAGATTACCGAGGATTCTGAAGGAATGTGTCCCAGGTATGCTGTTGACTAAGATGACCATTATGTTTCAGATTTCATGCCATAGAAGTGTCCAGCCCCACATCCACTCTTTGATTCCCTGGCTACTCACACAAAGAGCCAGGAATTTCAGGAAAAATGCAATTGATGCAGGAACTCAGGATACAGGTTTCAAAAGTCATGAGACTTCAGGTCAGGATGGCTTGAGAATTGGCTTGGGTTTCCTCCCACAGTCCAAAGATGTGCAGGCTAGGTGGATTAGCTATGGTTAATGTAGGCTTACAGGGTTAGGGTGGGGGAGTGGGTCCGGAGGGATACTCTTCAGAGGGTCAGAGTAGACTCAGTGGCTGAATGGCCTCTATCTGCACTGTAGGGATTCTATGAATTGATCTCAGAGATTGAGGGTCGAATGATGAGAGGAGATGCTAGGTATGGGATGGGGGAAAATCACTGTACCTGAGCGTGGGGAGTAGTTCAGCAATGCTGATACTAAACTGAACTTAAGACTATGTGTTCTGAGAGGTGCATTACAAATACTGAGCTCATTCCCCTTTGTACAATATCTATTTTGTTCCGGAGGGTCCGTACCAAAAACATTAAGTACAGAGTGACTGAGACTTCCAATTCTAAGTCAAAACACTTGCACTAATATTAAATACATGAAGATAGGTAGAAACACATTTGAGAAATGACATGATCAGACGTGACATGATCATTTCATACAGTTTGAACATTACATGATCTAATCTTCAGTCTTGCCTCAAGCCACAGATGCCAACTCTTTTCTAGATTCAGATCAGGAAAAGAAAACTCTCACCCAAGGAAAGCTTAGCCCAATTGCAGCAGTTCTATTATCAGAAGAATGCTATTAGATAACTCAGGAGAGATTGAGAATGAAGTACCTTTTTGGATTGTCTAGCTCATGACATATGGAAATAATGTTAAATTATTCTTAGCTGATTGAAAAGATGAAACATTAAAAACTACCTTTGTAGCATGCAAGTGTCTTTCTGTTTTAACTCTTCAAATGCTTTTGCCTCCTCCATTCCACCAGTATATCATTCCGTGCATGAATCTGTAGAACCTGGATTCCCTTATCCAACTTTCAATTTACTTTTGAGTAATTTTCTGGCTTACCTTTACCAGAGTGTTATGTACATCAATTTCCAGCTCATTAGATAAACACAACAATCCATGGAAGTAGCCAAGCAATTATAGGGTATTTAATCAAAATGTGAAAGTGATGCAATAAAGTTATTTTAGCTAAATGAAATAAAATGTAAATGCTGTGCTTACTGAAGGCTCGTAGGTTTAAATTATGAGTTTAGATATTTTTCTTTTACTCCTTTGAGTTTAGAAGGTAGCATCATGATTTAATTAAGGTATTACAATGATCTAACAGAGTAAATAAAGAGAAATTATTTTATCTCAAGAGGAAATCCAGAACAAAGGTGATCATATTAAAGTTAGAGCTTGGCAATTTGGAATGAAATCAGAATGCTATTTTGTTTCACAGAAGGAACCTGGAATTCTATTCTTAAAATACTGCAGGTACTATGCTATTTCAAGTTTAAGACTCAGATTGATAAAGATTTTCTTTTGCTTCGCCAAGGTGGGTTAATGGAGGCGAGTTCAGCCATGATTTTATCTGAATGAAGAATCAGCCTGGATGGGTTAAATTGCTTAATTCTTCGTAAATCCCTCCATTTGCGAGCGTAGTACGTAGAGAAACATTATCCTGTTCCTAAACATTTAATATATAATCCAATGATAGGCCTGGGACGTTCAATTGAGCAGAAGTTTGCTCCTTTTTTATTTTTCATAACGCTTTTTACAATTGGTAGTATACAAACCATGACTTACAATAGCTTAGGCCTTAAATCTGTGTTATAGACATACAGAAGATGACAATAAAACAAGAAATAAAGTACGTTTTACTCCGTGGAAGGAAAATAAGATGAGGACTACCTTCCCCAAAACGCACAACATAGTCACCACCATCTGAACTCACTACTGGAGGAGCAACTCAACGCGCTGCACTTGGAGACCGCGCCTGCGCCCCAATCCGCGCGATGCCCTGTGGGTATCGTAGGCCTAGCTTTGTCGTCAACGGAAAAACCGGGGCGGCCTGGACTACATGCCCCGAAATACCTTTGGGCCAGCTCGACAAATCAATATTCTGACCGGGTGCGGGGGGGGGGGGGGGGGGGGAGAGAGGGAGGGGGATAGGGGGGGGGATGGAAAAGCAATTGAGGAAGGGAGGGAGTCGATGAGGTAATGGATCGCCGAGCACAGCAAACGCTGAGGCTTTTTATTCCCTGTCCCTTCCCCGCCCCCCCCCCCCCCTCTCTCCTGGCCCCGGGAAGCTTTGATGAGGTCCTACCTGATGAATAGATGAAAGGGAGAGGGAAGGTGGAAAGAAACTTCGATCCTTCTTGCCGCTTTGTTTTTCAACCCGTACACGCGTTCGCCAGGAATGTAGTTTTTTTTTGGGGGGGAGGGGTGGTCGCGGTGTGGGAAGGGTGGGTGGGTGGGGAAGGGAAGTGGGGGGGGTGGTGAAGAGAGAGAGATAGGGTTTGTTGTTGGTGTCCCTCTGAAGGAGTTAAAAGTGTGCGCGAGATGAGGAGAGTTGGTGCGTTGAGCTGTCAGGACCTGCTGCTGGCGGCGGCTGCGCTTTGATGTCGCGCGCGCGGGGGGCGGGTGGGGGGGCAGGCGGTGCAGGGGCTCGGAGTTCATCGTTAGAGGCGGTTAGTCGCGAGCGACAACGAGGAAAAAGAGAGAGCCACGGCTGAAGAGCAAGGGGAAAAAAAGAGGGGGGAAATGCTTTTAAAAATATATATAGGGCGTCGTGATTCCTCCACAGTTGCATAAAATCTCTTTTTATTTTCTCTTTTTTTAAGAAAAAGACTCGCCGCTTTCCCCGGAGAGGGTGTATTTTTATTTCACTCCCCCCCCCCCTCCATGATCACCTACAGATTTTTTTCCCCCTTTCTCTTAAGAAAAGATTCTGATTTGCTCTTTGTTGAAATGTGATTATATTTATTTTCCTTTTTTTTTTGAAAAGAAAAGCACAGTCAACCCGATCTAAGCTGGTTGTTGTGTGAGGGTGGAAGTGGAGGTGGTGTTGGTGGTGGGAGAGGTGGTGTTCTTACGGGTGGGTGCTTCTTTTTTCCTTTCTTTTTCTTGTTTTTCTTTTTTTGGGGGGCGGGGGATTGACGGGGAAAAATAGGATTATATTGAGACTGTAAAATCATGCAAGAGCCGGAGCGGAGGCGGCCGTCGCCGCCGTCTCTACCCGGCCGTGACCACGGATCCTCCTCATGGAAGAAACTTTCTCACAGATTCGCTTGGGGAAAGGAGTTACCCGCCACGGTGCATGTTGTGTAGGACGCGGGGGAAGGAAGTTTTGTGTGTCCAGGTAACAAAAACAAAACCAATCAGTTTTTTTTAATGTTTATAACGAGTGTATGTGTTGTTTGCTATGGACAAAATTAAATAAAATGTAAGTGGGTCGGTCCCAGTAGCTCTTTGAGCCACCGCAACAAAAGCGTGGGGTTTGTTCCTTTTTTTTATTTTGGGGGTGGGATTGATTTCAAATAAACTGTAATTTAAGCAAAAAAAAAAGGAGAAACGTTGGTGCTACAAATTCCGAGATTCTGCTCTTCACGTTGTAACTCTTTTAAAAATGGAGGTGAGGAACTTGCACGAATCTGCAGATCTGGTTTGAAATGCATTTCCCCACCTTTTTCATTTTGCACAATCGCGATTGATCGTCCTGCGGGACCCCGGTCGAATGTTTATTCAGCAATACCTGTTCCCGCTTGTCCGCAACTCCTCTACGGGTTGCTAGTGACCACCCTGCAACTGTTGTGCTCTGCCGGCTCTTTTCTGGGAGAAACTGCAATTCCTCCGCAGAGGAAACATCGCCTTTTGGAAGGCGAGCTGCAAAGAATCTAGTCATTAAATAGCTGGAAACTTTGTCTAACTTCACAGTTGTTGGTCCAAATAGCAGTGGCATCTGTTCGCGTTCCTGAGCTGAATTAGCTGTTGCACTGTATTTCAAAAAAAAACACTGGACACCAAAGTTGTGCTTTAGCATTTGTTGGGCTTCAATGTTGCTCTTGTCAACTAAACTTAAAAATGCGGACCTGTATCCCTTTTACTATTCAGCAACACTTTTTTTTTGTGTGTTTGACAGGTGGTCTACTTTGCATTCTATTTCTTCATGCACTGATCACATTCATACAATGTGTGATAGTGTCTACTTTAACAGAGCTGCCTTTATAATGGTTGACTCCGGTTTAGCAGAACTAATTTTAAACCGCACTCTTGATCAGCTTTGAAAGTGCGCGACGTTCACTTGCAGTCTGTTGATGCAAAGGTATGTTTGGTTTAGGCCTTTTGGTGGTTGACAATAAGTAATTATCTAAGAAGGCATGAACAATAAGTTGTAAAACGCGCGAAATGGTAATTACTCACACTACAGTAGTTTAATACAAGAATCTAACTTGGCTTTCTTGTGGGTACTTGGAATCTAGTCGGGATTGGGCCTTTTGAGAAAAGTAGAATTAAGGTTTGAATTGTTTTTATGATGAAAGTGTTGGTGAAAAGTTGACCTTGGCTGACCTCTGAACTTCGAGTATAGCTTATTGCTTTACCTAACACCAATCGAATTAGAAACCGAACTAAAAAGAGACAAGCTAATGTGATGTTTCCGGGTTTCCACAAGTTTGCTTTTAAAAAGACTAATTACTTCATAACCCGTATTTGCAGGAGAGCTTGGGCTGGTGGAGCTTAGGAGATGGAAAAAAAAAGCAAAATACGTAGAGCTGTTTGGCATTTTCATTGGGCTTTAAACGCAATTTTATAATATAAGGAGCACGCACACGATTTAAGGGATTATGGTTGCGTTGAATCCTAAATTTGGATACTTAGGAATGCCCGTATCGGGCTTAATGAATTAGAAATGTGAAGTATATTGTATTGCAGGAATACTGTTTACTTCATTTTTGAATACACAATTTATTTTTGTGTTGTATTGCTTTTCAATTGAATTGTTTCAAAGGACAATGGATAAGTACTTGGTTAAAGCTTGTTCTGGTGATTTTTAACTAGGTGGAACGTCTAAAGCATGGCTCATGGTGTGTGGAATAACAGTATTCCATTGTTGGTGTCATACTTTTATGGTTAAACAAGAGATTAGGCATTTCTGATCGGATGTAATTAGTGCAGAGTACTTTTTTCTGTAACTTGTTTATTTTCTACTCCAGGGTATGAGTGACCTGTTTGTTCTTGCTAGTCCATTATGTAAGTTATTTTCTGTGACCTGCGCCAGAATAAATAATAATTGCAACAATGTGAACAAACGCCGTTTCTTCGTATTTTTCTTGGTTAGGCCTTCTGCTAAAAATGCTAATGCCCTACAAGTTAAACTATACTTTTGAAGTTTGCCTTGACATGTAAACGTAGTTTATACAGAACTATTTTTAAATGGTCCATAAAGTAGAAATAGTTCATGAAGGTTTGCAGCAGTGACATAATTTACGATTGTCAAGTTTTGTTGTTTAGTATTCTGTTAATTAGACGTTGGAATATGTTTGACTATTGAGAAGTACATCTTACGCTATGTCAAAAGGTATTATAATTGGCGTAAATGCATATAGAGAATATTCTGAGACTCCCTTTTGATGCAGTAAATGCAAACACGATTAGCAAAATAAACATAAATTTTGTAGATTTTACAAGTCGTTTTATTATTGATCTATTTGAGGAGTTTAGGCCAAAGGATTTTCGGTTTCTGTGATGAGTAGATGAACTCCTTGCAGAGCAAGTACTAAGACAGGGGGCGCTATTTAGCTCTTTCAAGAAGGACCAGGGAATGTGTATGGGTGCCTGAGTGCGAGAGATTGAAAATAACAAAGAAAGTGTTTAAGTATTTTCCTGTTGTTAATATCCTAATGGTGTTTGAGATTCAAAGATCTTACATGCGAACGGAAGCAGAACATAGATTTTTTTTTACAGGTAGGCCTTGAAGCTAGAAGCGTGTTTTATTGTGGGGAAGGAGGCTCTTGAAAATGTGCATGGGGGTTTGAATCGTGCTGGGGTTTTATGCCAATCATTTCTAGATCAAGTTTAGATGAGATTTATTTCCGACGAAATCTTTCATTAATTTGATATACTGTTACGACATTTGACGTTAGAAAGTTGTGCAAGCTGCAGTGTTTTTTTTTAAAAATGGGCCTGGGCCGTTTTATTAGAAACAAAACGAAAACTGCAAGTAGCTAAAAGGGGTCTCGTTTGCTCTTTTCCCATCCCCCACTGTGCCGGAGAGGCCAAGAAATGAATGCGATGCGGGCTGCAGATGTATCAGTCAGATCAAGGGGACTGATGCACAAACATCTCGCAAGTGTAAGGTACAGCTTTTCACCACCAACTCGATTTACCGTTCTCTGTAACTAGCCTGCTAAGGTATTTCTATTTAAACATAGACTGACGGTGGACGGTGGTGTTTTTTTTAAGAAAACCTCAGCAGAAGATTCCGTAGGAAAAAGTCACTGATGAATGATTAGGGCGGCATGGTGGCACATTACTGCCTCACAGCGCCAGGGACGCGGGTTCAATTCCAGCCTCGGGTGCGTAGAGTTTGCATATTCTCCCCGTGTCTGCGTGGGTTTCCTCCGGGTGCTTTGGTTTTCTCCCACAGGGATGATGTGCAGGTTAGGTGGTTTAGCCATGGTTACTGTGGGTTAGGGTCTCAGGTAGGGGGTTGGGTCTGGGTGGGATCTCTTCGGAGTGCCGGTGTGGACTCGATGGATCGAATGGCCTCATTCCCCACTAGGCATTCTATGATTTATAGCTTATGCACTGCAGCAGATTAAATAGCGATTGTAGGTGGTTTTAAAATATCAAACGAACGGACTGCCTTTCAATGTAAGTCGATGCGTGAGAGTATCAGTACCGTTTGATTATTTTCATATTCAGTATATGCCATTGGAATGGATTTGCAAGAAGGTGTCTAATTGATTTAGTTGCTCTTGGAATTAATATTAAATGTTATTTGCTAAGTATACTTAATGCAATCGACAGCTTTTCAAGCTTTTATACTGCAGGACCAGATACGTTTTCAAGCGTTTTTTTAAACAAAATATATTCCAGTGGATGGTTCCCCTGTGGAGTGGATCGTTGGAAACTAGGCCACTCTAGCACTAACAAATACTGTAGACTGTTTATATAATTGTTACTCTGTTCTTCCTAGCTACTGTAGAGTCATGGAGCATGGAAACAGACCTTTCGGTCCTACCAGTCCGTGACGACCATGTTCCCAAACTAAATGGCCACCTGCCTCCTTTGGCCCATATCTGTCCAAACCCATCCTATTCATGAACTTATCCAAATACCTTTTAAACGTTGTAACTGTACCTGCATACACCACTTTCTCTGGCAGTTCATTCCACTCACAAATCACTCTGGTTTTTTTTTTAAAAGAAAAGTTGCTCCCATGTCCTTTTTTAAATCTTTCTCCTTTCCCCTTAAAAATATGCCCCTTAGCTTTGAAATCCCCCCACTCTAAGGAAGAGTCACTTGTCATTCACTTTGTCTGTGTCCCTCATGATTTTATAAACCTCAATAAGGTCACCCCCCAACATCCTATGCTCCAAGGAAAAAAGTCCCAGTCTACTTTTACATCTCAAACCCTCCATTTCCAGCAATATCCTGGTAAATCTTTTCTGAACCCTTTCCAGTTTAATAATATCCTTTCTATAACAACGCAACTAGAACTGCCTCCAGGAGAGGCCTCACCAACATCCTCTGCAACGTCAACATGACGTCCCAACTCCTATACTCAATAATCTGAGCGTTGCAGGCAAGTGTGCTAAATGCCTTCTTAACCACCCTGTCTACCTGTGACACAAATTTCAAAGAATTATGTACCTGAACCCCTAGTCTCTCTGTTCTGCAAAACTACCCAAGGCTGTACCGTCAATTTCATAAGTTCTGTTCTTGTTTGTAATAACAAAATGCGATACCTCACATTTATCTGAATTAAACTCCATCTGTCACTTTTCAGCCCATTGATCTCTTTGTAATCTTAGATAACCTTCTTTACTCTCCAACTAATTTTGCTGTTATCTGCCTCCTATGCGCTCATACAAATCATTTCTATAAATGACAAAAAGTACAGTGGACCCAGCACTGAACACTGCTGGTTACAAGCCACCAGTCAAAAAAAAACCCTCCGCCACCAGTCCTCTGTCTCCAATCATAAAGCCAATTTTATATCCAATTGGCAAGCTCACTGTGAATCCCACGTGATCAAACTTTACTAATTAGTCTGCCATGCCAGAACCTTGTCAGAAGTCACCCGACTCCAGGTTGTAGGTGATGAAGGAGCTATGCTCTGAAAGGTTGTGATTTCAAATAAACCTGTTGGACTATAACCTGGTGTTGTGTGACTGCTGATTTTGTCCACCCCAGTCTAACACCGGCACCTCCATATCATGCAGAATCTTGTCAAAAGCTTTACTAAAGTCTAAGTAAACAATGTTTACCTCACTACCCTCCTCAATCTTTTTGGTTACATCATTAAAAAGCTGAATCAAGTTTGAGAGACATGATTTTCCTCACGCAAAACTATGCTGACTATCCCTAATTGATCCTTGCTTCTCCTAATATATGTAAATCCTATTGTTCAGAATTACCTCCAAAAACTTACCCAACACGGACATCAGACGCGCAGGTCTATAGTGTTAAAATATCTTTCAAAGCTAGCTTTCAAAATATTTAAAATCAGTGAAATGGGTTTTGTTCGAAATGCAAATTGAAGTTTCATGATTATCGGTTTGCATATACAAAGTGACAATAAACTTGTTTGTGCACAGTTAGCATAGACTTCAAACATATTTGTAACTTGAGTTTAGAGTTTGACAGTACATTTCAAGAAGTTCTGGATATTTTAAGTATTAGTTGTCATTGATCATTGTTGAATAATACTTTTAAAAGTTGAACTGTGTGGGGACTGCTTACGTTGGTGCTTGTGACGGGTCCATCTATTGATCTTTGGTATTTAAATGGAAAAGAAGCTGACCCTTCACTTTTCCCAGAAAATATATAATGAAGTTTTTTCTGAATTCCTTGTTGGTTTCGTGATGTATCATAATTCTAGGATCTGTTACAATTGGAAGCAATTCTGCATTCTCATTCTACTCCTTTTACTTGACAAAAGCATTTCAAATGCCAGAGCGTAGTCAGCTCTGGACCAAGTGGGATTAGTATAGTTTGTCGTTTGTTGATTGGGATAGATCTGATGGGCTGAAGGACCTTATTTATAAGCTAATAATTCTATGAATCTCAATTGTTGGGGCATCTATTGGTGCAGCTATTAAACCAATTAGGAAGGAGATATGATAACAGTGGACATAGAATCATCATTGTTTTTAATGGAATGACCTTTGCTTTCCTTCTGCATGGCCCAGATAGTTTAACATGTTGTACATTATACATTCCCTTGCATGGTACATGATTTTGTGAAGTCTGAGGCTTTGCATAAAATGTGCTATATTATTAAATTTATATCTTTTATGTCTCCACTCCAAAAATAGCAAGTAGGTTTCTGCCTAAAGTCAGATTTAATTTGAGACATGGTAGTCTTTTACTTTGAAAGCGCAAGTTGTGACTGTAGTTTAGTTAACTTGAAATGCTGTTGGCTGAGAAAAGCTCATCAGAAACAGTGTATACAAGCTTGTTTTTAAATTTGTCAATCTTGTTAGACCATACATAATTTCTAATTATGCATAACAAAATCTAATAACAAAAAACCAAAGAACTGTGGATGCTCAAAATCAGAAACCAAAATAGAAATTGCTGAAAAACCTCAGCAGGGCTGGCAGCATCTGCAGCAAGAAAGCAGAGTTAACATCTTAGAACTGAAAAAGGGTCACTGGAGCCAAAACATTAATTCTGCTTGCTCTCCACAAATACTCCATAACTACTGAGTTTTTCCCAGCAATTTCTGTTTTTGTTTGTAGCAATCAAATCTTGGAGTGAAATACCGTTCTTAAAATGTAGCATGATAATGGTGTAAAGAGAACATGCTGTTGAACTTATGCAAAATGTGTTGCATATTTTCAAAAGCAACATAATGTATGTACTGGCAAAAACAAAAATCTGAATTGGTGTGCAAAGATTATATCGGTTGGATGGCTTGGATTTTCATTTTCATCTTGAATGTAATACAACAAGCAGTTTTCATTGATTTTATTGACTTACGAGATTGGAGATCTTTGATTTTCTATTGAAATTTAAAAACTAAAGATCCTGAAAATCTAGTTCACAAAATAGCAATGATAGAAATTTAGCTTAGCTCTTCAGAAGTTTTATTTTTGTTTTGGCTTTTGAAATTGCAGCTATCTGGGATTGGTCTTGTACCAGTCTTTGCATAAAATAGTAAGAAAGGATGTATTCAGAGTATGGCAATGTAAAATCCTCATTGCTATTTGCATATAGATGATGAGTATTATTTTAGGTGAGAAGGTATTTAGAAAAGGTTAGACAAAATGGGGGCAGAGGGGAGGAAATCATTAAAAAATGATTGAAGAAAAAGGATTGGAAAAGAATCAAAGATGATTCCAAAGTACTTTATAGTCAATTAATTACTTCTGATGTTATGCCATCACGTTAATGTATGGAAACACCAGACAATTTGCAATAAGCAAAGTCATACGATCAGTGAAATAAATGACCGAATAACCTATTGTGCAGATCTTGGTTGAGTGGTAAATGCTGCCAAGTCACCAAGAGAACTCCCCTAATCTTATTGCTGCAGAATCTTGTGTAACTATGAGAGAGCAAATGCAATAGTACTTTAATGACACCTTTGATAGTACAATGCTATGCCACTGAAAGGTTAATCCAGATTATGTGCTCATATTCTGGAGTGGCTTGAACCTGCAATTTTCTGACTTGGGTGATAATGTCACCACTGCAAAGGAATGAACTTTGCGTGGTATTTTTTTAACTGCTTTAGTTATTCACTTTGTAAACATAAATCATCTCCCAAGTGTTTTCTTAATAAGCAATTTTGGGATCTGTAAGTATAGAATGGAGTTACTGCTGGAAATATCAGAAATGATGACACTTTCTCCCATCTTTTTATTCTCTCTTTTTTTTCTCCCCCTGGGCATTGTACGTCAACATTTGATTGCTACTTAACTCAATGTGCAGCTTGTTGACTGCAGTCTTGCCATCACCCTTTAGCATTTCAACGCAGAAATCAAGTTTTATTAAAAATGGACCAAGACGTTTAGTCCCTTAACTAATATTAGTGTCTGAACTGTGGAGGTTTGCTGATGGCTTTGGTTTGAAACATTTGAAAAGCTTAATGCACTTCCTTTGGGGAAAACCTTGGGAGAATAGGCTAAGCGAAAGTCATAAAGACCTTTTATAGAATTGATGACTTGACTCTGGACCCATTGTTTTCATTTATAGAGTGGGAATTTTGTTTCATATTTAAGTTTTGTAGCTATCCTGGTTTGTAATTAACTATTGTCTTATGTTAAAAAAACTAAGTGGCATGGCATAAGCTAGACTTGGGTATTTTGTTGTTTGTTTTTGTACATAATGTTTTAGCTTTAAGAGAACCACTGCAAAGAATGTTTGTCATCTCTTCATACCTGCAATTTTAAGTAATTGCTATCTGGTCTACACTATCTACGCTCACTGGAGCTGCAAAGTAAAGTTCATTGTGGATGTTTGCTGTTAAAATATTGCTAGAATTATTAACTTTTATTTTTAATTACAGGAGGAATATAATATCAGCAACATTTGGTCCCTGTTTGAATATCTGACTATAAGAGGAATTGAGACTGTACTGGATTTGGTGCTGTACATGAGGTTGCTACAAAAATGAGTGCCAGAGGAAAGGCATATTTGATGGACCTAGGGGGAAGCTTTACTGAAGATGCACCGAGGCCACCGGTTCCAGGAGAGGAAGGTGAGCTGGCGACTACAGACAGTAGGCAATTGAATCACAGTTTCTACCCCATAAAAACCGAAGGGCTTAAAAATGAGGCATCCACAGCAACCCCACGGAGGCCAGATTTGGATTTAGGTTATGAACCTGAGGGTAGTGCTTCACCAACACCCCCATACCTGAGATGGGCAGAGTCCTTACACTCTTTACTGGATGATCAGGATGGAATAAATTTATTCAGAACTTTCTTGAAACAAGAAGACTGTGCTGACCTTTTGGATTTTTGGTTTGCATGCACTGGATTTAGAAAACTGGAACCAAATGATTCTAATGAAGAAAAGAGGCTAAAATTGGCAAAAGCCATATATAAAAAGTACATTTTGGATAATAATGGTATTGTGTCCAGGCAGATTAAACCAGCTACTAAAAGCTTCATAAAGGATTGTGTTATGAAGCAACAGATAGATCCTGTAATGTTTGACCAGGCCCAAACTGAAATTCAGACAATGATGGAGGAGAACACCTACCCTGTATTCCTGAAGTCTGATATTTATTTGGAATATACCAGGACAGGTGGAGAAAGCCCAAAGTTGTACAGTGATCAGAGCTCAGGGTCTGGGACAGGAAAGGCATTATTGGGATATTTACCTACTTTGAATGAAGATGAGGAATGGAAATGTGACCAAGACACAGATGAACAAAAAGGGAGAGATTTGGCCACTGTAAATAGGCTTACACAGAAACTGCTTATGGAAACAGCCCCACAACGTGCTGGTCCAACCAGGAGATTTGATGAAGGTCGGGAGTGCAGGTAAATGGTTTAATAGTGTTAAAGATGAGAAAGAGAAAATGTTAATCATATTAAAAATCCATGTAATCGCCATACGTGTTTAATGCGTTTGTAATAATAAATTTTGTGGGAAAGGTCCAATCATGTTGTAGCATTAAGGTAGTTTGTATTCAACAAGTCAAATGATCCAAATCACCACTTCTGTAAAATAGGTACAACCCAAGGTGAAAAGAATGAAGCTAACAGTCCTAATGCTATTACAATTGAAGTTAATATGGTATGGAAACTGTTAGGAAGGGAGTTTCAGGATTTTCATTCAGTAACAGTGAAGGAACAACAATAATACAGTTCCAAGTCAATTTTGTATAAAGTCTGGAGGGGAACTTGCATGTGGTGCTCCCAGGCATCTGCCCATTTTGAATTGACAAGTCTTTGCATTTGTTTTGAAGACATATCTTTGCTTCATTTCTGAAAATTGTAAGCAATTTCTCAACAATTTTGCAGAATTATGAAATTGTTTCTAATAGTGGGCTTAGAATGAACAGGCATGATTTTCTTGATCACTTGTTAAGGCTTGCCTGCCTCTCAACATTTTCAACTTTCAACATCGCTGGACAATTTTGCAGAAACACTACTGCCTTAACAGAAAAGGAAATGCTGTTTTACTGTAGCCAAAGCATTACATAATTGATATGTTAAGGAACATATCTCAAAATATACGTGTACTTCAGCTGTATGAGACTTCCAGATATTTCAAAATTACTTTGTTTAGTATGTAGATGTGAAATTGATGCAGCAAATGGATACAAATCTGGCTACTCCTATATTTGCTAAAGTGTTTTGAAGCAGATATGATCTAAATGAAATGACAACCAAGAATAGATACACTTGAGATGAATTTGGAATAAAAGTATTTATTTTGACACAAAACCTAGGGGAAATTTTGGAAATCTTGAAAAGCATTCGAGAACCAAGTGGTGGGGGTGGGGAGAGTATAAATAAGTCTGTAGCATCTCTCCAAATAGGATATATTTTAAATTTTTAAAAAAGCTATTTCATCTACGCTCCTCCTGCTGGGTATCGGATGCCTGATGAAATGTAATATTTTCCTTCTTATCTTAGTCATTGGCAAAAGTAATTGGAGCTAGATAAATAGCAGAATACATGTGAAGCCTCACATTCTTTCAGCAACATTGTGATAGCGATGTGGTTAGAATTAGATTTTTATTTTGTTTTCTGAACAATGAACAATAAATTACATAGCTTATTCCTTTGAATGATCATATTCTACAAAAAGCATTGAAGTACATGGGTATTTGCCATGTACAGAGCAAAAAAAAACTAAAGTAGTCGCATCTTTTACACAAATAAATATATGAAAAATGAAAATCAAATCCATTCACTCTTCTCCATACTTACTGACAAATGGTGCTCTTTCCCGATGCTTAGTAACAATTGTTTACAATGACGTGCTGTCTAGATTCAGTATGGAACTGAGGCACTAAATTGAAATGTTAACCACTGTGTGTGCCCCAAGCTGGGCTGATATCTACTAGTACTGTCTTAGGCAATGTACTGCCTATATCAAGAACAACACAATTTCTCCAGTTCAGACAATTATTTTTACTCCATTTACTGCTAAAGGCTTTTAAAAATTGGAAAATGCACAATTAGTGTATAACATGCCATCACTAACTTATGCGCTTGTCTCACTTTATCTGTTCGTGCTCAAAGACATCTTCCTTTCATTTGTTATTTTCTGAAAATTGTGTCCAGATTACTGATTCCATATTCATTTTTTTTGTTCATATTAATGTATCCACTATTTTAACTTGTTGACTTAAGTGGTTTCAGTTTTGCCTTGCAGAATTACTAATTTGTAATCTTGTGTAATCATGGAAAAATTGGCATTTTTCAGTGAAAATTGATAGAATTATGGTATCCTTTTATAATATGATTGAGTTTCAAGTGCACTTTGCTTTCTGAAACAAAGGGTGTCTGATTCCTCTAGTCATTATAGAATGTTTTCTGTTGCACTACTTGGAAGATTGATGCTGTATTTGAATTCCAGTGGAGCCTGTTCGAACTTCAGCTTTGGATAATTTTTTCCCCTGACCGGATGAAATTCTGTGCGTCAGGTGACACCAGAGGCTTGGTAGCTGTCGTCTGTTAATTTTTTTGGGGGGAAGCTACAAGCCTGTCTGATGCATGGTCGACAATGGCTTTGTGGAAGTAAATGAGACCTTTTTAGAAATTATAGAGAGGGGTGGGGAAAAATATGGGTAAGCAGGAAATAGATTAAATTTAGTGCACATAAGTATTTGTGCATGGAAAGGATGAGTAATGAGTAATGCAAGCACATTTATATTAAAAGAGATAAGGAGCAATTGCAAGATGCATTGGTGCCTTAGACTCACGTCAGCTTATCAGTCAAAGCACAATGTTAGTACCAGGATGTTCAACTATATCGCTGACACAGTGGACTTTGTCAGGGGAAGTAGTGAGCAAACTACAATTTTCTTTATTGTCACAGCATTTTGAGTGATGTGTCCAACACTAATACTGAGAAAAAAATTTGAAGCTGAGCAAAGAAGTAACATGCAACTCATCCCTAACATAAATTATTAAAATTATGAAGTGTGAATGAAGAAATCCAGGCTTTTACAACAAGAGTGGGTATATATATGGGCAGAGATATGCATACACACGTGCCCACACAGATGTGCAAGAATGCAAGCACACAACCACACATACGCACATGTGCATGTGAGCACCCATGCTCCTGTACACCACATGTGCACCTACATATGATCATTATGGAGTTCGTAAATATGTACTTTAATTTACCAGAATAGGAGAAGGGATCCTAAATTTAAACTGGTAAAAGCTAAACTAAATTTCCATGTGAAAAGTGATGGACTTCCAGGTGGAAACCAAATCTGAAATTGTTGAATAATTAAATGCAACTGTGGGGGAAGTTGGATTATTGAATCTTTTTGACCAGTTTGGCATTTTGAATGTTGACTGTATATTTAATAACTTATAAATCTGAATCAAGTGTAGGTGCCCATCTTCAACTTTACGTAGCACTTTTTCTGGAAAAGTGGGTTGGAATGGGATGTTAACCTAAAACAAATCTAGGATTTTTTTAACTTTCTACGGGGTCAGAGTTTTCCCTTTTTTGCCTGTCTTCCACGGAGCATGAGAATCAAAATATCCAGTCAATGTGAAAAGCATCACAGGCTTGCTTTGTTCACTTTAACAGTTTTGTGTTGCACGTATTTGAATATGAAGTGGGCTACTTTAGCACTTGAAAAGCAAGTTTTTCAATGGGTTATGAAGTTATTAATGACAGAGATGAGAATTTATTTTCTCCCAGGGTTGTGAAACTTTAAAATTCTACTTCAGAACACTGTGGACGTGAAGTTTATAGATTTTTATCAGGAAAAGGAATCCAGTGTTATTGACAGTGGATGGGAATGTAGCATTTGAAGTGCAAATGGATATGCCATAATCCTATTGAATGATGGAGCAGATTTTGAGGGGCCAAATGGCCTACATATGTGAACAATTTCACATTTTCCTACATTATACTCTATGTGCAGTAATATGCTGTCGGCTGCACCATTAAACTATTTTCTAATCAACCTGTTCAGTGATGCTGCTGCACACCTCTGGAGCAGGTAGCAACTGAATTTGGGCTCCTGGCCCAGAGGTAGGCATGCTACCCACTGCACCACCTGCACCATGAGCTTTTATTTTTTGTTTTGCAATAATGAAATGTGCCTGGAAATCCAAGTCCGCGGTTCTCCTAGATCCACAGCATATGTTACTTCCCCGCAAAGCACTGTAATTGGTTAAACAGGATTTTTCTTTTGCAAAGCCATGTTGACTCTGTCTGATTTGTCCTGACCTTCTCTTAGTATCCTGCTATAATGTCTTCAATTGTTTCTAGCGTCTACCCTATGACCGATGTTAAGCTAACTAGCCTGTAGTTTCCTGCTCTCTGCCTCTATCTTTTTGATCAAAAACATTACATTCACTCTTTCAATCCATTGAAACCTTTTCTGAATGAAGGTAACTTCGGAAATTTAAAACCACTGCATCAACTATCTCATCAGCTTCTTCCAAGTCCCTCGGATGAAGTCCACAAAGAACTAGGGACTTGTTGACTCTCGGTGCAAGCAGTTTGCTCAGTACTACGTTTCTGGCAATTGTAATTTTTTTTCCAGACTTCCCTTCCTTCACTTTGATTTACAACAATTTCTGGAAAGTAGCTAATATCCTTTAGAGTGAAGAACAATTTAAAATACCTGCTAAATTCATCTTCACCTCCTTAATTTCCAGTCTCACTTTATTAACACTTCTTTTAAATATCTTTCCCTCTCTAATTTTCTTCTTACTAATTCTTTTGCCATTCTTTGCTTTATTTAAAATTTTGTCTAATTTTCTGACTTGCCCATCTTTGTACAATTATATGAGATAACAAGGTGTAGAGCTGGATGAACACAGGCCGAGCAGCATCAGAGGAGCAGGAAAGCTGACGTTTCGGGTCTGGGCCCTTCTGGACCCCATTTCTGAGGAAGGGTCCAGATCCAAAACATCAGCTTTCCTGCTCCTCTGATGCTGCTTGGCCTGCTGTGTTCATCCAGCTCTACACCTTATTATCTCAGATTCTCCAGCATCGGCAGTTCCTACTATCTTTGTACAATTATGTTTTTTTCTTTAAGTTTGATACTATTATGACTTTTTTAGTTGCAGTCCAATAGGAGGACTCACCATGTGAGGTTATCTAGAGGCCCTTTCGCAATGAGCTGAGAAGTTAATCCTGTCTTGTTTCACAAAATCGGATCTGGTATAGCCTGCTCTCTGGTTGGACCAGAACATGCTGTTCTAAAAATCTATCTCAGAACATTCTATGAACTCTGTCTCGGCTACCTTTGGCCAACTGATCATTCCAGTTAATATGTAGATTAACATTGTCAGAAAGGTACAGTGATAATCATGGGCAAGTTCCCAAT